TTTAGTTTTAAAACAATATTTAGAATAGAGGATTCTTGGCTAGTAAGAGGGAGGGATAGCAACAAGTAGAGAAACCAAGAACCTTGGTAATTAATTAGTGGCCAATAAACTATAATAACATATAACATGGAATATAAATCAATGAAAAAAGGAAAGAACCAGTAAGTAAAGATCAGTAAAAATGAAGATCAACCAATTCGAGGGAAGATCAATAAAGCATAGATCAATTTAGCCATGGAACAATTAGTTAAGGATCAATAAATGTTTATAATGATCAAACAAAATCGAACCAACAACTTTAGGTAAAGATCAATTAGCCCGATGTAACATAAAGTGAAGATCAATAAATGATTATAATGAACAATACAACAATAAGATCATAAGAGATCAAAAACCACCAACAAGTGGAAGTACAGATGTATAAAAGTTTCATTGCAAATGAAGGAGTAAAAATCAAATATTACAATGAAAACCGTAACTAAAAAAAAACATGAGAAAAAAGACTAATAAACACAAGTAAGTGAGTGAAAAATAAGTGTAAGATCAAGAACAAAAATAAATCCTGTGAATAAATAAAAAATAAACGCTAATAAGAACAAAAAATAAACCGTGTGAATAAATGAAAAATAAACGCTAATTAGAGGATCAAAGGATTAATTATAGGTTAATGGCTGCTGAACCTGGGGTGCTTTTGGAAGCAGTGAGTGTTTCTCGACATGAGCCATTTGTTGCAGGCATGTGCGTAATCTTTCCCACTCTTGGTATCTCTGCAGCCGATGGATGAGGACGGATTCCTGCATGTTCAAGTATTGTAGTTGAAGCATATGGGGTTTCCAAGGTGGAGAACAACGTTGATCTTGGACTTGTTTGTGGTAGGGTTAGAGGAGCCAGGTCTAGAATTCTGAACAAACCTAGGTTTATTAGTTGAGTCTGAGTCCGATCTGGGGAGCCTGGAGAAGACAGGGACGGAGCTGTTATAACCTTAGGAGGTGAGAATTGATTTTAAAATTTCCTCCTGCTCCTGATGGCTCATGATTACATCTTTCCTGATGGCCCTGGTGGCATTCTCCCTGAGGACCATGTTGAAGAAACTTGAGATAACAGAGATCCTTTCTGACATAGTGGGTGCGGCTGAAGCATAGTTGTATTTGTTTACAAGCCTCATGATAATCAAACCAGTGGGATCATAAGGCCAGATGTGCATGAGAGCAGTAGAGTAGTTCAGGAGACCATCAGAGATTTGAGATAGGCTAGTAGGATTCTCCCAGGCATAGTCGAGTGTGGATACGATGCCTTCTTCCTCATGTTTCTCTATCTTTTTCACAGGTTTGTTGGCAACATTCACGTTGGAGGACAGGAACATCTTGAACTGTAAAGACTTGGTACGGTCGTGGAGACCTTGAATAGTTTTCTGAGTGAGTTTATTGTTTGCTCCCATAAACTTCAAATCCAGGTTCTTGTATAGGTGATTT